CCCCCCCCCTCAGCGGGCCATGGTAAAATTATTAAACGTTGACCGGTCCGCGGCAATAAAAAGGTTGGGGAGCACTGCATTAGAGGACTTGTAGTTCCACAACTGCGGGAGTGCCGAGGTTCCCTTCTCCTGCCAATAATGTGTTTCTTTGCAGTGGACACCCAAGGATGCTCTGGCTACTCTAAAGATCCATGGCAAGTGTGATGATGTCATGAGGCTACTGATGGACGAACTGAAGCTGGATGTCCCAGAATATGACAGGTTTGCATTTGGCTTACTATTGAGCACTAGACACTTCCATCTTTTTCTATACATTTACACTTTTTTCTTTGTTCCCAGATCTCTAGATCCAATATTTTCTATAGCCGTTCCACTGTGTCCCGGAGAAGAAAACAGCCATTCTCGCAAGCCCATCAAGGCAGCAGAGACTCAGAAGCTTCAAGAACAGACAAAACAGAGTTGTCAGCAGCCTGTCAGCGGGGGCTGGTTTGGTAAAGGCTGCACCAAAGGAAGAAAAACGAAAAGATAATTTTTTAGGGTTTTTTATATTGTTATTTTTTCTTTTTTTATAGTTTTTATTTCCCTTGCCTTGAAGGTGCCCTTTTTCCTGCAAAAAAACTAAACAAAAATCCTGTGGGGCCGATTTTAAGAAAAATGGAGCAAAATTAGAATTTGATACCAGTCAGGCTGCACCCTTTTAAAACATATGTAAAACAAATAATGTAATCGATTGCAGCTTATCAGTCTGTGGCAGCTGCACTTATTTTCTTTTTCAGCAAGTACAGAACATCCTGTTTATCTTGCCAGAATGGCACTGTTCTTGTCACTTCCTGTGAGCTAAACGGAAAGCACAAAGAACCCTATCCTTATTGTGTATACTGCTGGTCTCATCAATGCACCATGTAAGGCTGGACACACACCTTACAACCATCGCAAGACTTTTGTTTTGCGATGGTTGTAAGGTACTTAAAAGAACGTACGATCTGCCTATCTTGCATCGTATGATGCTCGGCGGGTTTTGAAACATGTTCGTAAGTTTAAAGTCGTGCGACTTTACAGTAGTAAAGGTCGCACGGCTTCCACACACCTTACGATAATCGTACGATCGCGGGATTTCCCGCGATTATCGTACGGTGTGTGGGGACCTTAATGGAGATGAACAAGGCAGATATGGTGGAAGTCTTGCCTGTGGGTTCCCTCCATAGATACAATGAAGAAGTAAGTGTAGGCAGGAAGGGACACAAAATATATTCTTTTCAGGGTCACCAGGTAAAAATACATTTTAAAAAAATGCAGCCGCTACATCTAAGCACTGGTAAGCTGCAATATGTTCCATTTTTTTATTTTAGGTTTAGACATGCTTCATCGAAAGTCTGCTGTTTAAATGGGCCCCCTTTCTAAAAGCTGCATAAAAGGTAAAAAAAACATCTGTAGGGGGAAAAAAGTTAAATATTTTACATACAGTTTTTCATCTTCCAGTGCAAGAAGTGACATTCTCTTGCCGACAAGACACCTGGCAATGCTGAGGTTCCCAATTGATGTTGCAGCATAGTGCAGGATCATTTTCCCAGTGAGGTTTTGGTTACTTATTCCCTCGGATATTGACAGAAGCCTAGTTGATGTGGGGGAAAACAGACTACATTATCTTCTTTCCACTGAACATGTGTTTTTTTTTTTCTCCCCATTGCTGAACTTTGGGCAAAATACAAAACTCTTGAAGCCTCTCCTTCCAGCCCTGCAAAGAATTTTGCACTTATGCGGTTCCTTGGTAGAAATAAGCCAGGTTTATTTCCCAGTGATGTCATCTCAGGTCTCCCTTTTAAATCTCCGCAGCAGGTGAGAGTAGGTGTCAGATGGGTGGACAGTCCGCTGTTGTTGCTGCAGTCCGATCTGTGATATCCAATCTTTTGTACCTCAAGCATGTTGAAATGTGTCCTCGACAAACCACTCACATCAAGTCATTGCAGAGTTCTGCTGTGGCTGACAAAGGCAGGATTTAGTTTTCAATCTAATCAATACTCTGCCGGGTCTGTATCTTTCTATCAACATGAGATGCGGAGGGCTCCATCCAAGGCAGCAGAGTAGCGATCTGGCAGATATGAAATCATCTCTGAATTGGTGCTGACACTGTCCTTCCTTCTGGAGGAGGGCTACTTTTGTTCCCCATGGTCCCTGTGTGTGTTGTAAAGTAGTCACCGCTCCAAGCTCACTCCCGGAATGGACTACAATTTCAGGTTTAGTTTACGCATCATGGGAGTGAGCTTGGAGTGGTGACTACTTTACAATACCCAGAGGGACCATAGGGAACAAAAGTAGCCCCCCTCCAGAAGGAAGGACAGTGTCAGCACCAATTCAGAGATGATTGGAGGATCTACAGCCGAGTGATACACAAATAAGATCCAGTAGTGTTAATACTCAAAGGAGAACTATGAGGTGAGTGCTTTTCACTCACCTCATACTTCTAGCCGACCTGTGACAATGAGACTGTCACAGGTCGGCTCAGTAGATCGGGAGGTGAGCGAACACATACAGTGGTTTCTAGATAGGCAGAGCCAGCTGTCACTCACGCAGCTGGGCGGATCTCGACATCGATGTCGGGATCCGCTCCGGCTGCGTGAGTGACAGCTGGCTCTGCGGCGTCTCAGTATACCGCGAGCTGTAGCTCGCGGTATACTGAGCTTAGGGTGACGGGAGGACGCTAGTTTGTTTCCTCCTGTTACCCTAAGGAGAACTATTAGGAAAAGCCCTGACCCCATAGTTCTCCTTTAAAAATTTATTTATGTACCTTAAGCTTTAACTCTGAGTTTAGTGTCCCTTTAAGGCCCCAGTTACACTTGCAATTGGTGCCGATTGGGTGAGCCTCTTAAGGTGGCCATACACCTTACAACCATCGCACGACTTTCGTTGTGCGATGGTTGTAAGGTGATTAAAATTTCGTACGACTTGCCCATCATGGACAGGCAGATCGTACTTGCCGTCATCGCAAGTCCTCCCTGCTGAGGGGAGGGCTTGCAGATGATTGCAACGGTGAGCGGGCAGTGTGCGCTTGCGCACCTTGGCTCGTGGGCTTTCTTCTTGCGATTGCGCTATCAACCCCCCAGAAATCGTACGATTTTCGGCGGGTTTTCTAGCGTGCTCGTTATACGAAAATCGTACGACCGTACAGTAAATGCGGTCGCACGCTGCCCATTAACCTTGCGATTATCCTATGATCGCGGGATGACCCGCGATTATCGTACGATAATCGGCAGGTGTATGGGCACCTGACGATTATGGGCTCCATGAGACTTGTGTGAACAGCTGCAGTTAGGAAGAGCTATAGAAAGGGCCACTCATCTTCAGGTAATCGCAGCATGTCCAATAACGTGAATGGCTGAGGGCGCTGTTGGCGTTCATTGTTTTGAATAGTGCTTCCATAGGCCGAGAACGCCTGCAAACATTTGCATGTAATTAAACATGCTGCAATTACCTGGATAGGTGCTCTCAGCTGTCATTGCTTTCTATAGCATTTGGGTGAGACCTAGCCAATTGGCCCCAAGTGTGAGTGGGCCCTAAACTCTTTTTTTTTTTTTTTTTCTTTTTTCCCCCAGATGTCTAGATCCAATATTTTCTGTAGCTCATCCATTATTTTCCAGAAAAGAAAACTATTCTTCCAAGGCCATCCAGGCAAGCAGATTCAGAAGCCTCAATGACACAGACTCTCCTATTGCAATTATCCACTGTGATTGGTGGGCAACAACTCCACTTTTTGCTCCATTTATTATAAATCGGACCATGTGACTTTTTGCTGTTTGCACTAATTTTTCCAATTTGTGTTTTAAATAAATAATGTTTTACATAGACTCTGCATGAATCGTTGAGTTGATTTATATTGTGCCCGGAGTAAAGATGGCCGCTGCTGTAGCAAGCGTCCGTTGTTGCCATGGTAGCGTGTGGTGCGTCACTTCCGGGTGGAAGCCCGGGGAAGCTTCCGCTAGGTTGACACCTCATTTACAGCAAGGATGATTCGGAACGGACACGGCTACCCCGCCCTGGAGCGCGATCCTTCCCGGCGGACGGTCCGGGTGTGGTGCGATGGATGGTGAGTGTGTGCTGCATTCCTATTGGCTGCTCAGCGTTCTATTCTGGAACGTTGTGGAATTCCGCTTCGTTATAGAGTTACAATGTAATGGGCCGGGTGGTGAGCACAGACTGTGCGAGTTCGAATCCCCGGTCTGGCAGCTGCGATGACTCAGGAGCTGGAAGCTGACAAATGTTATATATTTTATAAACGTTCTTATATTTCTCTTCCAGACACCCTGATCCATTTTTTCTCTCTCTGCGCACTGTAAGTGGCACCCAAATGTGCGTTTTGGGTGCCATTAACAATTGATGGCACCACAAGTGTGACATGTTTTTTACTCAGTTTGTGAACAGGCACAAATCCCACGCTATACCCAAGTGTGCTTCATTTCATGAGCACCAGTGCATGCAAAATCCCACAATCTTGCATGCATTGATGTGCTACCCAAGTGTGAATAGTGGACTTAATAATGTTTTACTGATTCAATGCACTGATTCTGTTGGAGAGTTTTGTTTTTTTACAAGGGTGGCAAACTCTGGCCCTCCAGCAGTGGTGAAACCACAAATCCCATCATGCATTCATCTCTGGGAGTCATACCTGTGGCTGTGAGGAACTTTCAATGTTCATGGGATTTGTAGTTCCGCAACAGCTGGAGGGCTGAAGTGTCTTAGGCCCTGTTCACAATATTGCGTTGCAGGAACATGCGCATTCCCTGTTCGTGTTACCACAACACACAGCACCTATCGATACTTACAATGAATCAGTGGGGTGCCAGTCATTCTGAATGGCACCCCAATGCACCTAGCCAGTGCTGCCTAAAAAAAAGGCACAGGTCCGATTTGTGTGCTGTTGATATGCCAGTGCATTCATTTTGAACACCTGCTGTTAACACGCATGCTTCAGTGGTTAGGTGTGCACCAGCCTTAGTCCCTTCTCGCCATGTCTTGTATGGTTATAATTAGGCATGCTCCTGATACTGGACCGGAATTTCCAGTATCAGAAAAGCTGGGGGGTGGATAATGACTACCCCCCACCCACCCTCCGGCTTCGAATTGGGTGGGAAGCTGGCTCCATTCTCCCTCATCACTTAATGGCTTCCCGCCAGTCATTACCCGCCCCCCAGGTTCCTGGTTGGCCAGAAAGCCGACTCCATGCTTCCTCATCACCTGGTGACGAGGAAACATGGAGACAGCTTCCCAGCTAATCAGCGAAGGTGGGCGGCGAGTCATTACACGCCGCCTGACTTCCCTAATAGGATTTCGGTATCGGCGAATACTTGTACTCGATACAGAAAAACTGGTATTGGTGCATCCCTAGTTATAATGGAAATGGGAATATCTTGTTGGGTCCGAAGCCATGATTTCCATAGATTGCACTGATGATTGCCAAAAAGCCTGAAACAGCTGTATGCAGTTTGGAATGAATGGCTGTAGAACAAAGATGGGGAACTCTGGCCCTCCAGCTGTTGTTGAACTACAAGTCCCATGAGGCATTGCAAGGCTTACAGTTACAGGC